GGGGAAGGTGAAGAGCCAGAGAAACGTAAGGGTATAGAAGGGGCTAAGGGCCAGAGGAGGGGTGAGGGAGCTGATGGCAGGGTCTGGAAGGGATAGAAAGGTGGGGTAAGGTGAGCGGGGTAGGGAGTAGAGGAGACGGGAATGGAAGGAGTAGGGGATGCGGCGCGGGTGAGAGGGTTGCTGGCAGAGGAAGGCATGTAAACGGCGAGTGAACTGGGGAGAGGAAAGAAATGGAAAGAGAAAGAGGTAGGGACGGGCTAGGAGAGGGAAGAGAATTGATCAGGAGCAGCAGTGTCAGGGAAGGAGTGAGAGGGAAGGCAGCAGAGGCGGAGGGAAGAGAGGAAAACTGCCTAAGGGGCGGGGCACTCTCGGGGCGACATTTGAGGGCGTTGAAGAGAAGAGCAGGAGAATGGTGGAGCGAGAGGAAATGTATATAAAAGGCGGCACTCGGTGCGGGAAAGCATTACTTCCGACATGAAGCTCCTGGTAAGTCAGGTCAATCAGCGAGGTGTCAGTGAGTTTGCTTAGATGGAGAATGAGACGAGGAAAATAAATGAAATCGATGAAATACTGAGAACGTTATTCAGCGATATATATCACAATGCCTTTTCATTCTGCAGGTCTTAATCTCAACAATCGTGGCCACGTCGTTAGCCGCACCTCAGGGCTACAATCTGGGTACGCCTTCAGGACCAGGTTTTGGAATTGGAGGTCCAGGACCGGGATTTGGATCAGGAGGATGCGGTCCCGGACAGGTGCTGCATGTGGACGGCAGGTGTGTCACTCCACGTGTCAACCGTAAAGTGTATTTATATGACGCGCCACCAGCACCTGTGTCCTATGGTCCTCCGCCTTACATCCCTGAGCCAACCATAGATACAAATATCGTGTTCATCCGAACTCCCGAAGGAGGACAAGGACCAGATCCCATCGTCGTGCCTCCGCCACAACAGAAACACGTCGTGTATGTCCTCAACAAACAGACGGAGCAAGGACAGGAAGTGATTGAAGTGCCAGCACCACCAGCAAGTAGTCCTGAAGTGTACTTCGTGAACTACGCTGACGGCGAGAACCCAGTTCTTCCCAGCGGTGTTGATCTCCAGAGTGCCTTGAACGCAGCCTCTCAGGGCGGCGGTCAAGTGATTGGTGGCGGTGGCGGAGGTGTTGGCGGTGGTTTCGGAGGCAGCGGAAGTGTTAGCGGTGGCTTTGGAGGTGGAATTAGTGGTGGATTCGGAAGTGGAGAATTCATCTCTGGTGGAAGTGGCGGTGGATTCATCACAGGAGGTGGTTTCGGTGGAGGCTCCAGTGTTGTCTCGAGTCCTTCAAATCTATATACTACACCATAGAGTTTACCATCTGAACATCCTGTTATGTACTTCTAATTAACATGTTATTCATAAGAATATTATCTTGAATCTTAAGCCAGACTTGTTTTGAATTATAAATGTGTATACTGTATATATTCTTTAAATAAATAGAAGAACAAATAAGCGAACTTTTTACCTATGTTTTACATACCAGGCAAAGAGAAACATACATTACCATATGTACACACATGTCCAGTCACATACAAACACAAGTTTAAGTTGTTTAATGCTTTGCTGTCATAAACATAAGCACCTGTTTTTTTCCCTTGCCACGTGCAGGGACAACATCATAAGAAAGGAATTCGAGTAACAAGTAAAATATTATTTGATATTTGTGTAGGGTTAGCTGAAAAAACAACAACAACACTATAACATATACAGAGGTAAAAGGAAGCATTTCTTATTGACAGAAGAATGAAATTCCTTACAGACCAGGCATCATAGTTTAATTTTTTTTTCTATGTGCAAGAAAGAAGGAAAAAATCAATAGTTTTCAATGGAATGATAAAACAGAAGGGCGATTCTTCACCTCATTTCTATTGCATAAAATGCATATGGAATCACATAAAAGTATACATACACACAAGTACACAAACAACAGCAGTCCCATGGTTTCGCATTAATAAAAGAGAAAAAAAAAAATGTAGGTCTGGATGAAAGTATGAAATAAGTTACATGTGGTAACTTCCAGTAATAAAATACAACTAATTTTTCAATGTTCCGAACGAGGCAAATTTTTCACAAAATGTTAATTCATACAAATACTACGAGTTATTGGAGGTTTAGTAATTTCTGTACCGTGAGACTGTTCTCAGCACCCTCTCCCATCCCAGCTTAGATGATGCTTAATCTATGTGTGTGTGTGTGTGTGCGTGTGCGTGTGCGTGTGTGTTAGTGTGCGTGTTTTTGTGTGCGATTGAGTGTGAGCGGTTGCGTGCATGTCAGAGGTTGGATTACGCTTGCTGACCGTCAACTCAGTTTATGCATGATTTTATCTATACTTTTTATTCCATTTTTGTGTATAATAATTCTATTATGTTTTAATTTTATTTTCATTCTTCTATTTTCATGATAATGTTTAGAAGTTAGAGCTTATACGTCTTTTGCGGTCCTTTTTGTACTGCTGAGAAATAAATATTCGTTGTTCTACTGAACCACGGGGCGTTTTTTTTCCTAATCCTTTGGCATCTTTTATATACATATATATATTTTTTAATGAAGATTCTACTAAGTGGTCGTCAGTTCCATTGAGCCTAAGTGACGGTATTAATCAAAGATAGAGCTGGACTACATGTCATATGCAGCCTAGTGGTTCTCCTTCTTGACTTTATTTCTTTCTTGAGTGTTCTACTAGTTTCTCCTTTCATTTTACCGTCCTCCTGCGTCTTGTACTTTTCTTGTACTAGCTTATCTATTCCTTTTCTTCCTGGCTTCTTTACTCATCTAACATCCTGGAACATGTAAAGATTTCCCGCCGTGACATCCCACAAGATAATATCCCCTTGGGACAGTAACAGTGGTAGGGGGAGTTGACATCAGGGGGTGGACTTACCCTACGGATGCCCACTGACCTTCATGGGGAGGAACCTTGGCCCTTACAGCATTCCTTTTGGTAGGTGGGGTCCCCTGGGGACTACATTCCCGTACACTACATCTGTATATCAGAAGAGAAATATACAATGGTCTAAAATAAAAGATGGAATTATGCCATACACGGGAGATAATACAAATCTTTTATATAGATGTATTCCTCTTTTTACGGACTCAAAGTCTATGTTACTCAACTATCAAAAATGAATTAGTAATCATACTACTAAATTAGGAATGAGTACAACAGCAAAACATATGTAAGGACATAACATACTATAAATGTATGTATACCATTACATACTATTTGCATTAATATGTGATAAGATCACCATTCATATGATAGTACATATTTAAATTCGTGTACGGACACATATGATAAAGGACAAAAAGAAGCGTAGATGAGAGCCTGGCAAATTCAGTAAGCAGTAGAGCTGGAAAGGAGTATCCAGACTACAACGAGGATGACTTTTTCCGGGCTTAAGATACTACTCGGAATATAAGTCAGCTATGTATCCTTCATAACAGTTATTATGAAGAAAATAAAAAGGTCAAGAAGAAAATATTAGTAGACGAGAAACATTGAAAAATAACAAAGATAAAATAACCATACAAATATAAGCCTAGGGGTGAATAGTTTGAGCATGAAAAAGGACATATTTATCTTTTAGGCTTATCAGATATAGGAAGTGCGAGCGCGAACGGGATGGGGCTCGAATGACCGGGCTGGGGGAAAGGTAAAGGGAATGGAGGGTCGGTAGAGAGGATGGGGGCGGGTAGCCGGGGGGGAGAGAGAGCTGGGGGAAAAGATGGGAGTGGAGGGGAGTGGAGGAGTGGGGGTAGATGGGGCCCACCGAACCGAGCGGGGCAGGATCTGGGGCGACCTTTGAGGTTGATGAAGAGGAGAGCAGGAGAATGGTGGAGCGAGAGGAAATGTGGTATATAAGAGGCGTCGCCTGGCTCGGGAAAGCATTACCTCCAACATGAAGCTCCTGGTAAGTTAGGTCTCTGTTGTTCCAGGATTTGCTCGAACGGAAATGACACGAGGAAACGAAATTACGAGGAAATGCTGAATTCATTCTTCAGACATACATATCACATTGCTTTATCATGTTGCAGGTCTTATTCTCAACACTCGTGGCCACGTCGTTAGCTGCACCTCAGGGCTACAATCTGGGTACGCCTTCAGGACCAGGTTTTGGAATTGGAGGTCCAGGACCGGGATTTGGATCAGGAGGATGCGGTCCCGGACAGGTGCTGCATGTGGACGGCAGGTGTGTCACTCCACGTGTCAACCGTAAAGTGTATTTATATGACGCGCCACCAGCACCTGTGTCCTATGGTCCTCCGCCTTACATCCCTGAGCCAACCATAGATACAAATATCGTATTCATCCGAACTCCTGAAGGAGGACAAGGACCAGATCCCATCGTCGTGCCTCCGCCACAACAGAAACACGTCGTGTATGTCCTCAACAAACAGACGGAGCAAGGACAGGAAGTGATTGAAGTGCCAGCACCACCAGCAAGTAGTCCTGAAGTGTACTTCGTGAATTACGCTGACGGCGAGAACCCAGTTCTTCCCAGCGGTGTTGATCTTCAGAGTGCATTGAACGCAGCTTCTCAGGGCGGCGGTCAAGTAATTGGTGGCGGTGGCGGAGGTGTTGGCGGTGGTTTCGGAGGCAGCGGTGGTTTCGGAGGTGGAATAAGCGGTGGATTCGGAGGCGGAATTAGCGGTGGATTCGGAGGTGGTGTTATTAGTGGAGGTTTCGTAAGCGGTGGAGGTAGTGGAGAATTCATCTCTGGTGGAAGTGGCGGTGGATTCATCACAGGAGGTGGTTTCGATGGAGGTTCCAGCATTGTTTCCACTCCTTCTAATCTTTACAGTGCACCATAGAGTTCAGCATCTGAAAACTTCCATACTGTGTGCTTCTAATTAACTTGTTATCCATATGGCGTTTATAAACTTTACATTTTTAAATCTTAAATAAGTTCTGTTGTGTTTTATGGATGTGTATATATTCTTACAATAAAGAAAAGAAGAATAGATGAGCAATTCTTGACCTATGCTCTGCTTCATAAAAGGCAGAGAAAGACATTAGCATACATTCATACATATGCACTTACAAACACATTGTAAGTTGTTTTATTGTTTAGCCTTCATGGACGTATTATTATTTTTATTATTATTATTTTTTTTTACTTGCAAAATGCAGATACCTTCTATAAGAAAAAAAATAGAGCGAATATATTATAGTTGAGTAAAATATTATAAGTCTACCTATAAATAAGATTAATAACTATGATAACATGTACAGAAGTCAAGAAAAAAAAATCACCTGGAAGCATTTCCTAATGATAGTAGATTCAAATGCTTATATAGACTAAGTCTGGTACTGTGCTTTACACAAAGAAAAGAGTAATAGTTTTTAATAAAATAGAAAAGCGATTCTTTATCTCAAAATTTGGCATGGAAATACAAAAGTATATAGGTACACGCGTACCCAAAAAATAATAGTCTAATGGTTTTGAAATATATATATATATATATATATATATATATATATATATATATATATATATATATATATATAATATATATATATATATATATATATATATATATATATATATATTATATATATATATATATATATATATAATATATATATATATATATATATATATATATATATATATATATATATATATATATATATATATATATATATATATATATATATATATATATATATATATATGTATATATATATTCGCATACCACGTACATTGACAATTAAATAAAAGGAAACCGAGGGATCTTCACCGTAATTCGGTCAAATAAAAAATACTGAAATTCTTTGTAGGTCCTGAGAAAAATGAAAATTATAAATGGCAACATACATTTATTTTTCGTAATTTCAAAAGAAACAACTATTCTTTTGCACCAAATGTTAGTTCATGCACGTACTACGAAACATTGGAAATTTGGTAGTACTCTGTATATTTGAAAAATAAATAAATAAATAAATAAAATAGACAGAAGATGGCCTAATTCCATACCGGGGAGCTCAGGCAAAACGTTACCTGTAACTAAAATCTGTGTACTTGATGTGTATTCGTCTTACGAACTTAAAATCTATGTTACCTTAACTTTTATACAAAAAACATTGGAATCAATTTAATAGTCATACTTGCAAAAGGAAATCCGCACACTAAAATATATATTAAGGAATATATACTATTAATGTAAGTTATGTACCATTTCATACTGTTCTCGTTATGTTATGATCTCCATGCATATGACAATGTATATCTAAATATGTAGACGAACACATATAGTAGAGAAAAAAGGTGTGGATGAAAGTCAACTAAATAGAAAGGAGAGTAAAAAAGAGTGTCGAAGCTACACCTGGATATTTTTTTCTGTGCTAAATACATGGCAGCCGACGGCAGTCGCCCCGAATCTGAGATACGAAGTCAGGCTTTCTTTAAAACAGTTATTATATATAAATAATAATAATAAATAATTTGAAAATAACAGTAGAATAAACTAAAAGAGAAACAGAAGACAAGAAATAAGGAAAAATAATAAGGTAATATATATATATATATATATATATATATATATATATATATATATATATATATAATATTATATATATATATATTATATATATATATATATATATATATATATATATATATATATTATATATATATATACACATATTTTAAGTGTTTATGAAAAAGCGTGAAAAGGAGACTTTTTTTTTTTTTTTTTTTTTTTTTATCAAATTCCATATCAGACCTAGAAACTAATATCCTAGATACACAGCGACGCGCGCACGTGTGCGAATGGGATGAGGGCACCAATGATTAGGCTGCGGGGAAGGAAAGGGGGGGGGGGGCAGGGAGGGAGTAGGCAGCAATGAGAGGATAACAGGGAACCACGGAAACGAGCGGTGTAGGATTTGGGGCGACATTTGAGGGTAATAAAGAGGAGAGCAGGAGAATGGTGATGCGAGAGGTAATGTGGTATATAATACCTGGCCCAGGAAAACATTAATTCCGACATAAAGCTCCTTGTAAGACAAATCTCTGTTGAGTCAATATGTTCGGATCGAAAGGCAAATGAACAAGATAAATTGAATGAACTAAATCAACGTAATACTTTAGAGAGTTATTCAGCAATATGTGTCACACCGCCGTCTCTTTGCAGCTTTTAATCTCAACACTCGTGGCCATTGCGTCAGCCGCATTTCAGGGCGACAATCTAGGTACGCCCTCATGACCAAGTTTTAAAACTGGAGGTCCGGAATCAGGAATTAGCTCAGGAGGATACGGTCCCGGACAGGTGCTGCATGTGGACGACAGGTGTGTCATTTCAAGTGTCAACCATAAAGCGTACTTATATGACGCGCCGCCAGCACCTGTGTCCTACGGTCTCCGCCTTACATCCCTGAGCCAACCAAAGAAACAATTATCGTGTTCATTTGAGGTCCTCAAGGAGGACAAGGACCAGATCCCATCGTCGTGCCTCTGCCACAACAGAAACACGTCGTGTATGGCCTAAACAAACAGACGGAGCAGGGACACGATGTGATTGAAGTGCCAGTACCACCAGCAAGTAGTCCTGAAGTGTACTTCGTGAACTACGCTGACGGCGAGAACCCAGTTCTTCCCAGCGGTGTTGATCTCCAGAGTGCCTTGAACGCAGCTTCACAGGGCGGCGGTCAAGTGATTGGTGGCGGTAACGTTCGTGGTTTCAGAGGCAGCAGAGGTTTTAGCAGCGGAATTAGCGGTAGTTTCGGAGATGGTGTTATTAGCGGAGATTTTATCTCTAGAAAATTATAATAATAATAATAATAATGATAACAATATGAATAATATAAATGTCGATGATCATAATAATGATGATAAAAATACGCATTACAGTAATGATCGTCAAAATAATAACACGAACAACATAAATAGAAATAAAAATAATGATATTTATAACAATAAAGCAATAATTATAAAAAAATAAATATACTAACAATAACTATAACCATTGTATTAATAATGATGATGATAATAATAATAATAATAGTAATAATGTAATAATAATGAGAAAAATGTTAATTATCATATACCAATGATAAGAATGATATTGATAATGATGATACTAATGATGATAATAATAAGAAATAAAAGAAAACAATTTTTAGTAGATGGAATAACATTCATTAAAGGTAGAAAAAAGAAAAATACAAGAAGAATGTATTTAGTTCCGTCCACTTTTAAAGAAGCCTGAATTATGTATCAGGTTACCTGCTGATGCACAGGAAGGAAATTACAAAAAGAATATGTATAAATATTACCTTATTTGTAGTACTTCATGATTTTGTATCAGCGTACGAGAAAGTTCTTAGCTTAGTGATTCTACGTATAATCACAATTGGAATGAATTTACTCTAAGGTATAATGAAAGAGAAAGGAAACTAAAATACAAGGAGTAGATGCTGCATGAAATCCAAGCACAAACTACGGCTTTCGTTTCCAGTTATAACCCATGTTATCTATTTCACTCAAAGCATAAACACATGGAGATAAATGGGAACATGTTAAGAAAAGGAGGGGGGGAAAGCGAAAAAGAATTTAAATAAAAACGGAAGAAATGGACTCAGATCCATATGCACATATACATATACTTGGTATGATTTACAAAGAAAAAAAAATTTGTTCTTAATGAACATCGTATGTAGAATTTCGAACACAGGGGTAAGTGAATGGCGGCGAGTAGAGGAAGGGGAGGGAAGGCTGGGGAGAGTGGGCTTGGGGAGAAGAGAAGGGATTGAAGGATAGGAGAGCGAGTACGGGAGCTCCTAGGTCTACCTGCATTCAGGCATAAGAGCGTAATTAAGTAAGTATAATATATACAGCAACAAACTCGTACATAAACGAAATCACATACTACCGCACATACACACCAATAGAGGGAAGGCACTATATTGTGCGGGGTGGGTTCTGGGGCGACCTGTGAGGGCGATGAGAGCAGGAGAATGGAGCGAGAGGAAATATGACATATAAAAGGCAGCGCTTGGCGCTGGTGAGCATTACTTCCAACATGAAGCTCCTGGTAAGTCAGGTCTCTGTTGTCAGTGAGTTCGCTCGAAAGGAAAGGAATGATACGAGGAAAAGAAATGAAAACAATGATCTCTTATAAAGCAAACTATGTCACTGCTTTCTCCTTTTGCAGATCTTAATCACAATAACTGTGGCCACGTCGTTAGCCAGCCCTCAGGGTTACAATCTAGGTACGCCTTCAGGACCAGGTTTTGGAATTGGAGGTCCGGGACCAGGATTTGGATCAGGAGGATGCGGTCCCGGACAGGTGCTGCATGTGGACGGCAGGTGTGTCACTCCACGTGTCAACCGTAAAGTGTATTTATATGACGCGCCACCAGCACCTGTGTCCTATGGTCCTCCGCCTTACATCCCTGAGCCAACCATAGATACAAATATCGTGTTCATCCGAACTCCTGAAGGAGGACAAGGACCAGATCCCATCGTCGTGCCTCCGCCACAACAGAAACACGTCGTGTATGTCCTCAACAAACAGACGGAGCAAGGACAGGATGTGATTGAAGTGCCAGCACCACCAGCAAGTAGTCCTGAAGTGTACTTCGTGAACTACGCAGACGGCGAGAACCCAGTTCTTCCCAGCGGTGTTGATCTCCAGAGTGCCTTGAACGCAGCTTCTCAGGGCGGTGGTCAAGTAATTGGTGGCGGTGGCGGAGGTGTTGGCGTGGTTCGGAGGCAGCGGTGGATTCGGAGGTGGAATTAGCGGTGGATTCGGAGGCGGAATTAGCGTGGATTCGGAGGCGGAATTAGCGGTGGATTCGTTGGTGGTGTTATTAGCGGAGGTTTCGTAAGCGGTGGAGATAGCGGAGAATTCATCTCTGGTGGAAGTGGCGGTGGATTCATCACAGGAGGTGGTTTCGATGGAGGCTCCAGCATTGTTTCCACTCCATCTAATCTTTACAGTACACCATAGAGTTCAGC